CCAATTCATAAACTTTTTTGAAGGTGGGAGGGTCCCTTTAAAGGGAGATAATGAGCTTTCTTTTTTCTTAAATAAAAATTACTCGACATCTATACTATTTCTACTGTAGTTTCTATAAAATATGAAAATTTCCTAGCACATTTTCGTATGTGAAAAAGGTTTTTATTTTTGCAAAAAAGAAGCAGTACTTGCAGTACTTGTAACACCCACCGAAATGCGTTGTCCTTCTCTATAAAAAGTCGCAGTATATGGCGCTTTTGTTTCAAACAGCGACGCTCAGTGGCGGATCTACGTTGGGGCAAAATGGGCAATTGCCCCCCCTAAACGGAAAACCTCTGGGCAAACATATCTTTTTGCCCCCCCCCCCCTAAACAAACTACAACTTGAATACTGAAAATATGGTGTTTGAAAAGAAAATGTGAAATAAATGGAGGACTAGAAGGTTGTCATATTCGTGATATTAACCCGCGCCCTGGTGGGGTCTGTTTATAACGCGACCTGGTGGGGGGGGCTATTTTTTGCCCCCCCCCCCTCGTATCTCCGAAACTACTGGACGGATCCGAAAAATTCAAACGGCGTTCGAAAGGCCTGTCAAATTTGTCGAAGGAAACCAAATTTTATTGACCTCGGGGTCACCGATGACGTCACAGGTCAGGTCAAAGATGAAATGTTTCACCGTTCACGGGTCTTCTAGGGAATGCGCTATAACACCGAGGAAAACGCATTTTGTCGGGAATCAGCGATAGGGCGTCAGTTGCCTAGTAGATATGTTGCTGTTAGAGGTCACTGGTCATACCAGGTCAGGTCACAGGTCAGGTCACCAAAGGTCACCAAGGGTCACCACATGAACCCAACTTTACTAAGGTTATGCGATGCATGTTTTATGGCCAGTTTTTCATTTCCAACTCAATGGTGCTGGTTATAAGACCATCAGGTACGGTTTAGGTCACTTTCTGGTGGAGGTCAGGTCAAGGTCAGGTCAAAAAAGGTCAAATTTCAAAGTTGATATTTTTGCATTAAATGGGTATTGATTCGATGCAGCTCGTCACGGGGAGTCTAATGGTGGTCTTTGTTTTGCGCTACAAGGTCTAGAATTGCTGAAAATCGAGTTTGAAAATTTGACGTCATCAATTTTGAACAGTTTTTTCACTATAACTTGGCCAAAAAAAGAGGTATCGATCTCAAATTTGGTATGTAGATAGAAGGCGGTAAGGACTATCACATATATTCCGGTTTTTTCGAAATTCAAAAAACTTTTTGGATTTTTTGGCTATTATATTCAAAAAATCTATTTTTTGATTTTTGGGGGTCAAAATCCAAAAATTTCAAAAATCCGAGATAGCAGTTTTGTAGCCCTGTCCATTCTACAGCTTTTATGTCTGTATCATTTTTCTGTATTTGCAAAGCTATAGGCCTGACAGCTCTTCCCGCGAAACCCTTTTTTGGGTCGAAAACGGCAGAACATGACGTCACTCTGACGTCATTTCCGGCCAACCTATCATAGCCTTTGGAAAAATTTTTGGTCACAATGTGTAAAATTGATGTCCGGGAGGGTACTGAAAGTTTGGTGACGATCGGCGCAGTGGTTCTGGAGATATATCGAAAAGTCTGGAGGGGGGGGCAAAAAATAGCCCCCCCCCACCAGGGCGCGGGTTAAGTTGTGAGCTGATAAAAAGTCCTCCGCCCCATGAATGTCAGTCCATCATCCATCAGCAGTGCTACTACTGCTACTGCTACCAAAAAAAATAACGCGATTTATTGAAACCTTGAACCAAGTTAACAAACACCGTCAACAGCAGACCGCCAGACGCCAGTGGGGTCAGGGGTCACCACACTGGTGAGCGGTTGGACAGTGGTGGGTTTGCATGGTAAGTAAAGAAGATTACCAATCGCGGCTTTTTCATGAGCCATACCGTTATCTAACGGGGACAAACACAGAAAGGCTCAGTCAGAGCTTTTGGTTTGCGAGGTGTTGGAGAAGCTCAGTATGTTGTGGGAACTTAACGCTGTTCAGTGTGATTCCGTTGGCTGTTGCGCTGTGGTCCTATGTAGTCTGTAGAAGCATCGTTTATCTCCTCTCGAAAGTAACACTTATTGTATAATTTTGCTAGCTCGCGAAGTTTACAGTCCCAAAGTTAAGGAATGTTCATTGTACTTGCATCAATAAATGCAGGACCGAAAACAAATGCGCTGTTCTTCGTCTATTTCTTGTTGGGATTCTTAATCGACTGATCTCATTTTCTATTACCGGAAACAACTGTTAATACGTTTAACTTCGTGGCAACCCTGACTGCGTATAGTATCGCAGGTACGCTGATGTGGCCTTTGGTCGTGGGCATTTACACATGAACCTGCTGCTGCGACCCTTATCGGTCTCCGGATACAGAAGCCCTTGAGAACCGGCGCGGGCGGACCTTTCGGACGAGGTCTTGCCGAGGTGATGCGGGAGGTAGAGGACGGACCGTCCATAGCGCCGGTGAGCTATTCTCTAACTATCTCCCGGAGTCAGGGTGGCTGCAATTTTTTTTTTTGAGCTGCCCTGGCTAGGCCGGACTGACAAAAATGTAAAAAATAAAAAAAATAATTCCCGAAATCCGAGGAGAAAAATAGGGGTAGCTCGTTTTTTTTTTTTTTTTTGTTCCTAAGACTGGACGTTTGAAATTCTCGCCGACTTGCCTGGCGGCGCAATGTTTGCCCCCCCTAAACTCAAATCCTAGATCCGCCACTGGCGACGCTTGGGTTTTTGTTTATGTTATCGCCTTGTCGTTGCTTGGTTGTAAGTATTCTAATTTGAATTAGAGTTAATTCGGTTTAGAATTAATTAGATTCTAATTCGGGGGTACATAGTGCCTACTCTAATTTGTTTCCAAGTATTATTTTGCGCCACAAATGAACGGCATGCGCCAGAAACGCAGCCAAATCTTGCGATTGCGACTACGAAATTCATTATTGTGGCGTCAGAGCCTGAAGCGAAAAATACAAGCATATTTATTTCAAAAAGACTTCAGGTTTGTCGAACGGTGTTATGAGAATTTTGATAACAGTACTGCATAAGTTTTTCAGTGATGCCGCAAAAGTGTTGTATCTATCTTCTTTTATTGTGCAGTCGGCGGGACCGATTCAAAATTGAGTCGTTGCAGTACTAAAATAGCAGCATATGGCGTCAGATGATGAACAGGAAAAATAGTTGCGTAAATTTAGACATAAACCACCCCCAAACCATGAATATCTTTTGAAGGCACTATAGACGACCATTAACTAACTAGATGTGATGAAGATCAAATGTAAGGAATACGCTCATTTTACAAAATTACATGCAAGTAGGTACCAAAAAGTGATGTAAGTACTTATTCAACGGTCATTTTCAGCGCTCCCCGCTAACGTGACTTCAAGTTGAGATATTTGCGGCAAGGTACCGAATTGAGCAAAATGGTTTTAATTTACATTATAACTTGTTGTGTTTTGTCAGAAAATGGTCCTAACTCAGATTTTGTGGAAAAAGGTCATTATCTCCCTTTAAGAGTCCTTTACCGGGGTTACATGAGCAAGTAAATGCGTATCAGGAACGGATTTTCCTATTCGCTCACCATTGTAGTCCGTTTGTAATGCGTATTAACTCTGCTCATGTAACCCCGAGCAAGTAGCAGCTATGTAGGGGAGAGTGGGGCAAAGCGGCCACCGTACGCTTCTCACGATGCCAACTCTTGATTTTTAAACTTTGAAAGATTCTTTCTATACCAATGTGATCCCTATTAAGTTGCCTTTTATTTCAACTGCGTTTTATTTCCAAAGGCGTTCACATATGAAAGATATTGACAAAACTTTAAATCTATGCACATTGGCCACTTTGCCCCCTACCCTGGGGCAAAGCGGCCACCGGCGTCTTCTCAAGTCCCGATATGAGAAACAATACAATACAATACAATACAATACAATTTTATTAGGTCCCTCCATTACATGGGTTTTGTGGTGACCACGTCGTATACATGCGAAAACACATCTGGATAAAACACTGCAGTAAAACCGGATAGAAGTGAAACCACAGAGTAAAATACACATCTAAGACATCTTCCGGTACACTAACCAGTCGACCACACCTACTGTTGACGCGCTCCTGAGGACCCTGAGGACAACAATATAGTTGCCTCGTGTACGACTAGGGTATTTGATGGTGACAAGGTTAAGCGAGGATGGATGCTTACTTTATCATCTTCCACTTGTATGTAAACAAAGAAAGGATTTTCATGAAATAAACATTTAATTGCATTATTTGGTAACTCATGCAACTGAAAAGTGGCCAAGATGAATGCATGACGACACATTTGAATATAAATAATGTTTTTTATCCAGATGGAAGCAACTGATGGCCAATTGGGGGGTGGCCACTTTGCCCCGGCCACTTTGCCCCGCGCATACCGTCCGAGACAAAAATATTCCAGCTTAGCTATTAGTGGGGTAAAAAACATTAAAATTGGTAGAATACATGTACGATAACCATGCAATGCATGGACAAGAACGCTTATAAAAATTCCAAACGGTTATGGAATAACATAACATTTAAAAATTGTAAACATAGTTGGTAACCTGGCAAGAAATGCTTTTCCGTGTTTCAGAGAACAATGGTGATGGGCCTGAAACCCCGGTCTGGCTCATTCGAACGACCGTGAAGAGAAGTATAATTGGAAACCATAAATTGGAGCTGACGCCAGCTATGAAGGGCTAAAAAGATGGGTGGCCGCTTTGCCCCGGGTGGCCGCTTTGCTTTGTTTGTTTGTTTGTTTTGTTGGGTTAGGCCCTTTCGGTCGACAAGACCATTGCAGAGCCGGAAGGATGATAGGAATTTGGGGGAGACATTGGTCTGGGCAGGCACCCTAGTGAGTCGCCGGGGCTGAGCCCGTCCAGAGGACAGGCCACCCAGCCCCAAGGCACTCACTGCACCCGGCTACGGGGTGCGCTCCCTCAGGAGCAGCGGTGCCGCTCCAAGGGAGCAGCCCGCATGAGATAAAGTTGCCTGTCCAGCCCGGCGGGGGGTTGCGGCGTGGAGGAGAAGGATTTCAGTATCCTGAGGATAGAAGCATGGATAGGTGACCGCTTTGCCCCACTCTCCCCTAATGGCTAATCCGTTCCCTTCGTAACGTTCCGGATTCCCCCTCCCCGTCTGACCGACGGTGCTGCCCCGCAGCGGACGCGGCGCGAATTATAAGTGCGGGCGGCTTCCACATCAACCAGCGCCGAGTCACGTCCGCCGAGGAGGTGGTGTCGGCCGATAGTCACGTGCTGCCCAGCGGCCTAACGCTGCTGAGAGTCGGTGAGTCACGTGACCTGGCTGGGATGGACGGTGCGGGCAGGGTGCGGGTGTGTTTTAGACCATGCCGGGGCGGTGAGATGAGGTGATATCGTGGAGGGGGACTGAGTTGATCACCAGATGGTGTTCCCCCTCGGCTGAGCCCGTCCCGGTGGGCGGGGTACCGAGCCGCTCCAACGCACACAGCCGCTATTTGAGTTCGGAAGTGGCCAAAATGCGATAACTCGTTAACCAGTTGACATTTTGCCAAGGAATTTTTATTGTATGTGAAGTCAACCGTAAGGTCACATATGGGAACGTATAAGCATCCATGCCGATACATCATTGCCGTAAAAAAATATTTTTGCTTGTAATCCGCGGATGACGGGTATATCCCATAACGTGGGTGACTCGGGAGGGGATTCTGCATAGCTTCCCTGCTGTCTTCGAAACTACTCGTTCAATACTAAAAGTTCAAACGGCTTCTGATAGGAATAGCTGACAAACGAAACCTAACTTTGTCACAAAAGGTCATGGAAAGGTCATGGGTCACAAAAGGTCATGGAAAAGGTCATGAAAGGAAATATATATATTTTAAGGTCATGCGACACATCTTTAATGTCCATTTCGGCAAAAGCATCTAAAAATGATGTCATCTGGGTCGTCCGATTCGAAACTAGTTCCATTCGACAAATGAAGGTCAGGTCACGGCGAGGTCAAAAAGGTCAAATTTTGAAGTTGAACATTCTCAACAAAAAAGATGTGCATCGGATGCAATTTGAGCTCTGGAACACGATGGTGCTATTCGTTTTGGTTTTCGATGTCAAGAACGTACTGAAATTGCCTTTGCAATATCGAAAATTGTGATTAACCGACTACGGTAAAATGCAAAAGCCGATAACATTGCCATTTCTGAAGATATCTGACTGAAACTTTCCAAAAGCAATGCAATTGTTACATACAAAAGCCAATAAGGTTCATTCTGGTCGATGGCTGCTCCCCAAAACTATGAATGTTATCAATCATATCGGACATTCTTACGATGTTCTGTTGGCTGGATGTCTTTTTGCTTTATTGAATTTGATCAGAATTCAGACTACATTCAGTTAAGACGACGTACATTTATTGGTCACCAGAAAGTATACCCACAAGTCAATCGACAATCGACAACCAACAAATGCAATCGACAGGAGCGTCGAGCATCCCTCAGCACAAGCAACTGCTGGGGGCGATTAGACGGACCGCGCTCCTCTCTCGCAGCTGATTGGTCAGCTGCCGAACCGCACGGACGTCAGCTGCACGGCCGCCGCCCGGCCGACCTGACCGGGGTCGGCCGGGCGGCGACCTAGCGTCACTAGAACTGCAATAACTTTTGCCGGCAGTGTGATACCGACCTAATTTTTTCAGCAAATGAATCACAATTGTACGGTATATGTTATGGACGTTGTCTCGATGTGAAGCACGCTGTGCGTTTTTTGGTAGGCCTATGTAAATATTGAAATCCTCAAGCCCTTCTGCTTTGTGCAAGTGTGCAACAATTAGCTTACAATAACTGAGTGGGAAGTTTTTTAGATGCACTATTGTTACCAATGGATTCCGCACATTTTCCCCTTTCAGCTGATATCTTACTTACGCATTTTCAAGCAAAGAATATGACAGGAGACTCGTCAACATTTACATGAAAATCGCAGCACAAGTTCGGTCTCACGGAGCAAAACAAAACGGTGTACTTTGGGAGCCCACCAATCTGTGCCAGAATGAGTAATATTTTTTCTGGATGATATTTTATACAGTCTGATCAATTTACGACCAGAAAATGTGAGAAAATCACGCTTTAAAATTTGTCGAAAATAAGGGTACTGGCCACTTCTGAACCCGGATAGCGGCTGTGTGCAACGGTCACCCCGCCGGGACAGTAGCTGCTGTGGGAACAGTCCTCACCGACTGTATGGGAGGGACGGTCACTGATAGACTGAGTCAGGAACCGGGGTCAGTGAGCGCGGGTAATGTCGGGGTTATTGAATTGTGAATTAGTTCGATGTATGTCAAGTCCATGCGAGTCGTTTTTAGTTTATACCAGCTGTGTTGATATTTGTACAATTTCGCCTGTGCACCTATATCAGGGGGGTACGCTCCGGCTGTTTAGCATTATGAAAAATGGTGACAGACGTTTGTGGAGGATTGTCGACGAACTCTTGTTCCGTGAGCAGTACTTACACGCTAGCGGAAAATTCACCAATCAGCGCTCGGCGGTACTCGACGCTGATTGGTCCGACGCTCGTGACGAAATTGCGGGGGACCGCAGTTATTCTCTATGGACCCGAATAGGCTTTTGGATTTCGGAGGGGTTTCTTTAAAATTATATGCGGTTTCGAGCTGTTTTCGAGTTGAAATATATTTTTTATGACTGTTACCTATATAATGGCACCATAAAATCATGATTTTGATAAATATTACCGATGAAATATCGGCCGAAAAGACATGCTGTCATGGTACGGACTGCCCTGCGGCTGATGTGGGGTCCCTAATGCCAGCGTATGGTAATAATGGGGTGACGAAGGGTTATTGGAGACTCTTAGAGCCCCATCAGCATTCAGCATAGGGTCATCAGAGGCCGGGAACGTCCATCAGGGGTCTGAGTAGGCCTGTCATAATTAGGGGCATACATGACACATCATGGCCCATGGGTCAATGTAGATCCATGGGGCCGTTGAAGGGCCATCATTGTTCAGCGTGGGCTCGCAATTACCTCTGATGGGCATATGCCGTGCCCCGATGGACTAACGCTGGCCCCTGATGAACCATCACCAGCCCCTGAGGCCTGATAGGTCTACAAAGCCCACTGCTGGGTCTAAATTGGTCACTGATATGCCCAAATGGGCCACTGAGAAACCCGTACAACATCCCCTGACTGCACCTGCTGGACCAGTGCCGTCCTCTCATGGGCCCACCACAGCTCTTGAATGACCTTTTCAAGTCCCTTGAAGTGCCTTTATTGGCCTAAATGGCCCCTGATTGGCTTATGTGGTCCCTATTGGTCCTATATGGCCCCCATGAGCCCTCAACGTCCCTAGACGGCCTTACATTATATGCCACTGGGCCCTGTTGGGTCAGCACCGGCCCCTGATAGGCTTGCACTGGACCCACCGGGCCTATACCGACCCATGAAGGGCCTATGTCGAGCCCTCATGGGCCTCCGATGACCACACGCCGGCATGTGTGGCCCCATCAGCAGTGGTCCGTCTATCCCATGTACTTACTAGTGATGTCAATTTCAGAAAACATATGTCCAATGTCCGTCCAATGTCCAATATTTACGTCGACTGTCCGTCCAAAAATGTCCAAGCCGGCCATTTGTCCAAAGATGTCCGACATCTACGCAATAGTTTACACTCAACACCCTTATCTAATTTGCTTTTAATGTATCGTTACCAGCTCAAGAGTGGTAATCATATCGAAAGCTGACCTTTCCAATAGCCAATCAATGTTAAACACGATAACTTTATAAAAATGTTGAGGGGTAGCAAGCGATTGTCCAAAGTTGTCCAAAGCCTGCTGTCAGTGTCCAACCGAATTCCGAATTGGACATTGGACAAAATCGGAATTCCGAAGATTCAAGTTCCGATTGACACCACTAGTACTTACGGTCTTTTTGGTCGATGTGACACCGGTAGTATATAGAAATGTTATGATTAAATGTCGTTATTACACAGTCAAAAGTCACAGAAAGAATATCCAAGCTCAAAAATGGCCTCAAACCCAACAAAAACTGGTATAAATCCCCTTCAAAAGCCGTAAGTCTATTAAACGCCATAGGGGAATAGCTGCAGTCCCCCGCAATTTCGTCACGAGCATCGGGCCAATCAGCGTTGAGTATTGCCGAACGCCGATTGGTCGATTTCCGCTAGCCTGTAAATGCTGCTTGCGGATATAGTTTTGAACAAAAGAGGGTCGCGGCTACTAATTATCGCTTGTCACCACTTTTTCGTCGGGAGCGTTCTACCTGGTTTATATAGCCTTGACCTATATGCACTATCCAAGTCTACCTTAAGCTCATGTGTGAATAAATTATCCCGAGCCGTTCGCTGTATGTGGATGTTGAATGGTTCCTGTAGCTTTTCGTCGTGCTCCATCGAAGTCTATTGTAACACATCATGTGCTCTCAAGTCTCAACAAAAATCATTTCAGCCCATAACCCAATCGAACTACAAGATAATGTCATTTGACGGCTTTGCTTTCAGGAAAGAAGAACTACTATATCGTCAAATGGGTGTAAAGAACTGAGGACAATACTAAGAAGAGTCACCGCTCGTGTATCGGATAACGCCACGGTGTTTCGGATTATCGTGACACGGAGGGCAGTTTGTTGATCTCGACATGAAACGTCTGTCCTTATAAACATGAAATGCTCCGGGCAATGCGTCATTACTGTTGTTATCAACATACAGTTTGTTTTGTACGTGCATGTGCTATGAACTTTCTGAAATACAATCGGTGATATTTAGCGTTTTGTTTTCTATGAGTTTATTCACGAATGTTGCGGTACAGACAGTCACGCGAAAGTTTTTTTTTTACGTGTCCCAGTTATATAGCCTTGCGTTGTAATTTCGCCCCACCCGAGTTAAGGGTTTAAAATGAGTTGCAGTGTAAAGTTCGTTTTTTTTTTAGTTTGACCCCCACTGTAAATATCTTGTTGAACACGGCGCGATATCTGCTATAGTCTGGCGAACCTTTGAAAGAACTAGGGCGAATCTATTGCTAAGATTGTTTAGAACCTAAACCTGCTTAGAACCGGACCGATTGCTAAAGAACCTAAGAAAGAACCGATTGCTAAGGCACCTCGAAGCCCTCGAAGCACTTAACACGGCATGGGTCGTTGGAGGTAGCCTATCTGTGCTTAACTTTGACAGAAATTATCGAGCTGGCATATTGAAAGTTATCTATAGAGACATGGACACGTGCATCAATAACTGTTGCACTTTAAATCCGTTCTTTCTTATTATTGCCAGTTGCCAGACTATGTATAGGTGAATTACTTAGAAAACTGGCTGGTGCACATGAGTATTGAGTATGTAACAACGCGAGGAGCACTGCTCATATTTGGAAATCGCAACAACGAGCGTTGCCGCATATACACATGGAGGCATTTCCTTCATCGATACTCGGTGTGTGTGTGTGGGGGGGGGGATCACCTGGGCTACCAGCGTGGCAGCCCAGGGCGGCGGAGGTGTGCAGTTTTTCCATTGGTGAATATGTCGTGAGATATTTTAAGTATGTGTGCTTCCTTAGCGACTTTGCGGGCTGCGCAACAGAGTCCCACTTTGAAATGTCTGTATTACCTGGAGTAGGTACAGGCCACTTTTCTGTGTGAAGTATTGAACATCAGGAGGTGCTGCGACAGAGCACACTCACACCCTAGTTCTCGGCTTTTGATGAACTTGAACCTGCACCACCGACTGATAAATCCACCGACCACCGGGGATCAAAACGAGGCCCGGTGCGTGCCGGCTCGGGTTTATGAGCTCCCTCACCCAGTCGCGGTCGAGGAGCCGCCACATTCTGGCTCCGCCACCGGTCGCGGGCAGCGTTCCAGCGCCGCCGACCACACGCCGTGGACTGGCCGGCGGGGGACGGACCCGTCTCTGTCGGTCCGGCGGTGTGCCGTCCACATGGTGCGTCTCCAGTCCACAGTGGAGCGTCCACAGGGTGCGTCCACAGTCCACAGTGGAGCGTCCACAGGGTGCGTCTCCAGTTCACAGTGGAGCCGTCCACATGGTGCGTCTCTAGTCCACAGTGGAGCCGTCCACAGGGTGCGTCTCCAGTCCACAGGGTGTGTCACCAGTCCACAGGGTGCGTCTCCAGTCCACAGGGTGCGTCTCCAGTTCACAGTGGAGCCGTCCACAGGGTGCGTCTCCAGTCCACAGGGTGCGTCTCCAGTCCACAGGGGACGTCTCCAGTCCACAGGGTGCGTCTCCAGTCCACAGTGGAGCCAGCCAGGAAGCCGAGCCGGTCAGGCCACGGACAAAGACGGTGACGAATCGTGAGCTGCCTTTCCGCTCCACCGATAGCGCTGCTCCGAACCGCCGCGTCCGACACAGGAAGGGTGACCGCGCCGCTGCAGCTGCGGCCGGCAGGAAGGACGTCAGATAGGCGGGCTAGCACCGCCGAGTCCCAGAGCCGCAGGCAGGATGATGATGAAACTGACGCCGGCGCGGGAAGGGGTCACGGGACGGAACAGCTATCTGGTCGGCGCAGTAGAAACTGTTGACGCGGTTGGGTCTGGGTCAGGTCACTGGGTCGGTTCGGTGGGTCTGGTTCGTGTCTCGTCTCAGCCCCCTCCCCTGAGGTCAGGTGACTGTGGGGGACGGTGGACCTGAGTCTGGCACTGGATCACGGGGCAACCCGGCAATGCCCCCCCCCCCCTCCCAGGTCGTCTTATAGTCCTAAAGTGTGACTATAAGATTGTTCTTCACAGAAAAGTGCAAATAAAAATTATTCATGCACGAAAACGATGAAATTAAATCATTAGACTTCTTACTTCTCAGGTACTTTAGAACGGTTTAGCAAAAAAAAACATTTTTCTTAAAAAAAAACATGCGTCCTGGCCCCATGCTTGGCCCATGAGCTCAGTGTGGCCATCAGCACGAAAGAAAACAAAGGTAGCTCCTGTACATTTTTGCCATTTATATGCTGGAATAAATCTGAACCATTTTAAAGACAGAGGCCAAAACCAGTATATCCCGTATCAAATAGCCCCACCTTACGGTAGGTATGTGAATTTGTCCTGCAGAGCGATATACGATAGCCGCTGGCTCCCTCCGTTGCAGATGCACGGCCTTGTTTGTGACTGCCCTGCAGCTGCTAACTAGTGACATGCACTGCGGCGGTGTCGGCCGTGACGTTCCACGAGCCAACGCTGCAGTTGTTGACTTTCAAACGACCACACGCCTTACACTGGCCAATGGCAGCGCAGGGATTTTGCAACGTGTCAGTCGCTCCTCGGACTAAGTTGGTTTTAGTCTGCTCGGACCAAGTCTGCTCACTGCTGAGCCTCGCCGGCCGCCGCTTCTGAAGTCTGCAGTTGCACCCTCAGGCCGGTGTGTTTGGGGGGGGGGAGGGGGAGGAGCTGACGTGGCAGACGTCTGCGGGCGGCTGCCCGCGCGGGGACTCCCCCCAGATACCCGGTCCTTTTTGTTAGCGTCAGAGGCCGGCGTGACTGTCCCTCGGGGAGGCGTCGCTCCCCGCTCACGGCACAGGCAGCTCGTTGGCGGGGTGTCGTCAGACGTGGAGTCACAGAGTCCGAGAGTCACGGAGTCCCTGAGTCTTGGAGTCCCTGAGTCACGGAGTGCGAGGACCTCCTGACGACGCTACCCTTCAGCGTCAAGGCGTCACAAACCAGTGTAAACTGAATGTGGTTTCAGAAATACAGATACAGATATATGTTCAGAGTGGTGAATCGTCTCGGCACTGGACAGTGGATAATATAGCACACAGCAGACATGTGCAATTGCATGGATCCGAGTGATGGATCTATGATCTCAGCGGATCTCGAAGCAAACTCAGCAGGTTAGGATCTATGATTCCACCAGATTCGGCGTGAAAAATTATCTTGGATAAAAATTATCCCAATAAAACTATATAGCTGGTGTCAAAACAACGTTTTTACACATTAATTATGTCCCAGCTGAATAACAACATATACAACTACATATATCTTGGATCTATTATCTCATAGAATCTGACGATAAACCAAGAACATAAATTTATGATCTGAGTGGATCCTGCTATGCAATTACATTTGCAGCCATATTTCCAAGTGTTTATACGTCAATAAGTGCCACAAAACTATAAATTACGACGTGCAATCTCATAAAATCACTAAAACAGAACGTTTGTGAGTTGGAACATGTGATTTTGGGGGGATTTGTGTGTTGACAAAAATAAATGAGGATCTATGATCTCACTGGTTCTCAAGCAAAAAATAAGACTCGGATCTATGATCCGCACGGATATCTCGATAAATTAAACACTGCTGGATCTATGATCCCGTCGGCCGTCGGATCCGAGATCAGGATCCGTGGGGTCAGATCCCAGATCCATTTTCTCGGATCTATGCACAGTGCACATGTCTGGTACACAGTCTCACCAGCCTGTCCAGGGTCCACCGCGCCTGTGCACCGGCCAGTCCCGGCCCGGGCCGATGGTTGTCGTGCCAGCCCCTCAGGCCTACGGTCCGACGTGTCCGAGTGGTTATGGCGACGACCATACGTATGATGTCAGCTATCGAGTAACACGCGGTAGTGGCGGCTGGCAGCGTGCCATAGACCAGGGTCCCGGTCTCAGCGGTCAGTGGGGCTCAGACTGGTATAGGGTCCGCCCTGATGGGGGGAGGGACAGGGGGGCTGCTGCACGATGCAACGGTCACCGTCGGCGATATATCTGAGCCGCCGAAACCAGGAGAGCGACATGGCTGGGTCGTCTCTTTAGTCCGCTGTCGAGAAACATCACATGAGAGAGACGTCCATTAGACCTCTGTCGGTTCTGCGGTGTGTTTATGGTTTCTTGGTGTGTTTATGGTCATTCTTGTTATTACTGTATGTCATGTTATTCTCAGCAGTTTGGGAATTACCATATCCTAGCAGACATGAGATCAGTGCTGAGTAGGGAGTCATAGCTATTTATACGATAGAGGACGGGGCGGCGGTGCCAGTTGGAGAAGAATTCGAAACAGGCTGCACGTCGGACATCAGGATCTATCTATCTAGGATCTATACCGTTACGAATAACGATTTGAGTATGCACATTGCACGGGCTGCAGGCTGCTAAGGGTACGATGCGGGGATGTTTCTGTTGTTCATTAGAGACAGTTGTGAGTGCGCGATCCACACATTGTTCAGGACCTATATACTGACTGTTATTTGTCGTTGTCGGACGAAAACAAAAAAAAAAAGATGAAGTCCAAGTCTCGGGGCTGATATTTCGGAATATTTTCCCGAAAAAAAAACAATCTAAGAAAGGAGGCAGCGTGTGATAATTCAATTTTCGGTCAAATTAGGTAAACATAGTCTCCAACGAAACACTATTATAACGCTAAATACCAGAACGGCAGAGATGTAAATGTAATTCAGATATGCAGCCCAACAAAAGCATTGCGAGAATATCAGTTTCACATCGGACAGCAAGATTTGAATGGCGTCTACGTCCTTCGCCATTATAAATACTCCGTGTCTGTCCGTTCTTATAGCACTGTGAATGGACGCCGCTGACCGCTGCAGGCCGATGATCCGAAAACTCCAAATAATCATCATCTTACCACCGTGTCACAAAGTGCACCGTTTCGTTGCCCCGCCCCACGCCGAGCACGCAAATCCCGTTGTCAATGCCAGAAAACTCACAGCCGAGGTGGTCCGATAACGCGGCGTTCAACAAAGTGATCTCAACCGGTGCTTGACAGCGCTGCATTTCAGTGCAATCAGTGGACGGATATTGACAGTAGCTTATGCATGGTGATGGGCTGTCCCGTCTGACTAATTCGAATAGGGTGTGGCTGTTGGTGCAATTTGCCCCGCGGCCCGCATCAGAACTGCCCCTGGTATATGCTGTACTTCGTCGCCTCATTTCATAATTTGTATTCGGTGTGGCAGTGCATGCAGGATTGATGTTGTAGATACTTTTTAGGTACAGCCCTCTGCAGACTGCGTGGTAGGTGTCGAAAAAAGAATATATTCTTTTTCGACAAAACCGAGAATAACGCGAATACTATGCTATCGGTCACTCGGAAATCGTAACAGCAAGATGCGCGAGACTCCGTAGCTTAGATTGGCATTATCATCGTATGCATTGTCCATCCAGTTTGGCAACAAAACCCAAAAGTTTATATTTGCCCCCAAAACGAACTTTTACATTTTGTTGCCACACAAGGCGTATGCTTTGCTTATTGATAGGCCCTATCGAAGGAGTGGAGCATGGCGCATCTATTTGCAGTGAGTTTCGACCGACTGATAACATGACTTTTGAATTATTATCAGTTTTGTCGGAAAAAGAATACCTACCACGCAGTCTGCTGAGGGCTGTACCTGTGGCGTTGTATCATTCTCACGGGTCCCTCTCTCCCCTCCTCTGCGCTGCCCGCCGCCCGCCGCCCGCTGTGCACCGCCCACCGCGGTGATTCGGGGCGGCTGGGGCGCGGGCGAGCGGCTCCGAGGCCCCGGTGAATGCCGACCGGGCGGCCGCCTCGGGCGCTCAGCGGAGCCGAGGTCGGGTCACCGGTCGGAGCGGTGGGGGGTCGGTCGCTGCCCCTCACCGAGAAGGTTGGACGCTCTGTCTCCTTTAGGTGTGGGCTGGCACTGACTCAGCGGCGGAATTATCCCAGATCCTTCCCTCCTCTAAGTATGAGCGTTGGCTAGCTGGCCCGCCTTACTCTCCTATAATCCTTTGCCCTCCCCAAAAGTCCCTCAGACTCGGGTTGTGTGCTAAGGGGAATAAGAGGGCTCGCATTTGCATTTTAAGTCACTGGTTTGATTTGTGGTATATGATCCCCAATACAGCGGAGGAGAGAGGACATTTTTCATTTGCTGGAGTTGAAGCGAGCAATGTGGGTTGGACGCAAGTCCCCCATGTGAGGAATCACTTTTAATTTCGGCGGTTCAAATACAGTCCACTACTAGTTTAGCCAGAAAACGCAACATAGTCCTCCGGGCCGGATGTAACTTTACCTGTGGTCCAATTGTCATTGCTATTGAACGTTGCAATTTACCTTGTTGCCTTAACATCCCTTTAATCATGGAAGAACTGTTAGCAACCAGAACCAGGCATCGCACTAAAGCCACTAAGCTTTGCAATGAGATCAAAGCCATCCGACAGGAAGATCTCAGCAAAATTGACCAGGATCAGCTCGCTTTGAAACTTCACCACGGTGACAGACTGCTGAAGGAAATGATGGCTGTTCAGCCTCAGTTGGACAAAGCGGGACAGACTGACGGAACGAGCCATGTCCAGGCACTAGAAGATGAAATCTTCCTTGGCTCGCGCGTCCTCTCCCGTGTCGAGAAAGTTGATGAGGCTAAGGCTAGGCCTGAACCGAAAGGCTTGGTGGGGAGCGCCGATATGAAGTCCTCTCTGTCGGTCAAAATCCCAGTTTTTAGCGGCGACCTGATGAAATGGTCGGAATTTTGGGAGCTTTTCGCCATCGCTGTCCACGACAACCCCGGATACGCCGACGTTCAAAGGTTCGTCGTATTAAAATCGCATCTGACCGGTATTGCCCTCCGAGCCATCCAAGGCATCCCTGTATCCGAAGACGGCTATGCTGAAGCTGTGGCCGCTCTGAGGGACAGGTTCGACCAGGACGATGTCCGCCGAGAGACGCTCATGAAAGAGCTGCTGAACCTGCCGGCAGTCCGGTCAAACGACCTGAGGGCGCTCAGATCCCTGGTCGACCACCTGGCCGCTCACACAAGGGCGTTGAACTGTCTCGGGGGTCTCTACTGAGAGCTTTTCTAGCCTGCTCCTCCCGATCGCCAAAGAAAAACTCCCAGAGAGCTGGCGTGTGGAATGGGCCAGAACGGGTGGCTCAGATTTTCCGAGGTTTCTGAAGTTCCTGCAGGACGAAATTCGAATTCAGGAATCGGCCAAGGGTGCAGCGACCTCGGATGACACCCAAAAAGCCCAGACACACGTGCCTTCGGTATCCAGCAGCCTGAATGCACGACAAGTCTCAGGGAAGGACAGATATGCCCCCACGGCGGCCACGTGCCCTGTCTGCAGTCAGACGGGTCACCAAATCCGACAATGTGAGGAATTTCGGAAGATGACCTCGGAAACAAGATGGGAGGCCGTCAAAGCCGTCAATGCCTGCTTCCGATGTCTCGGAATCGGTCATCAGGCCCGGACTTGTCGGGCGGAGCCCTGCGGAGAGTGTGGTAGAAATCACCACTCACTGCTGCACTACGCGCCTCGATCGGTCGCTCCGCCTGGCTTGTCGGCCGCGGCAGCGTCGTTCTCACCTTCGAGCGCCTCTGATCATGGGGCGAGCCCCGGAATCGGACCTGGCACGAGTCCCATTCCTGAGAGTCAGCACCGCTACCAAGCCCTCGGAGAACGTGGCGGACGCCACTTCTTTCAAACAGCCCTGGTTGAGGCTGAGGGTCCCAACGGTAGCCGTCTGACACGCGTTTTGTTGGACGGTGGGTCTGACTCGTCCTACATTCGCAGCTCCCTGGTGGAGGAGCTGGGACTACCGGTCATTGGCACGGGCACCTTTTCATGTATCGGCTTCCAGGAAAAGGTGGAAGAGCCCCGCCAGTACGACCGGGTCAGAGTCAATTTGCGGAGTCGGTTCGGAGACAGCCTGGTGAGCCTTGGTCTCTGGAAGACGGACAGAGTGTGCGCGTCCCTCCCCGCACACTCTCCACCCAAGCTACCCGCTGAGGTATCGGAGAAGATGGCCGATGACTACCAAGGAGGAAACATCGACATACTGATCGGCATCGACCACCTGTACGGCATTGTGCGGTGGGATCAGGTGGATTTGGGCGAAGGCTTGAGAGCCTTAGACACGGTCTTCGGCTTTGTCCTGCACGGTCGAGGAGAGAGCGGATGCATTCCAACCGTCCATCGAGCCAACCACCAGCGTCGTGAGGAAGAGCTGCGGGATCGCGGCCAGCTCGAAGTCCCAGAAGCAGAGTCCAGTGACCCAGTCTCTGACCCATGTCCAGCCTCCGCGGGGAAGGAGGTCAAATGTGACCACAAACACCCAGTGGGCCGTCAGGACACGGCTGCTGCTCATTCTGAACGGACGACTGGGAGACGGAAAGAGGAAGGAGTTCGCCAGTATCATGGGCAGAGCACGAACATGCTGGCAGGAACAATGGTCGAGCAATGTGAAGATCGACCAAAAGAGACCTGGGATCGTACACACACACCAGCCTCCCATCAGACCTCAGACCCTGACCTCCTCAAAGAGGCAGAACATGCTGTTTTCCACCCCCATCAGCGAGTGTTCGAGAGGGATAAACCTCAAAACGGTTTTGATGGTTCGACTGGGGCTGGCGTGGGGAAACCCGGCACCGGCACAGGCACGCATGGCTGGAAAGTCTGCTGCCAAAAGAACCTCGCCTGGGAGTGGGACGCCCGTCATTCGTGTCTGTGTCGTAGGCTTACAGGCCCAGACATCCCAACTGATCATGTGTCTCCACCATCAGGAGATGACGG